TCATTTTATATAGGGTTCTGGCTCCCTCCCAGGCTGCTCAGGGATACTCAAAGATAAGGTCCCCTTGTTTTGCCACATCCCCTCTGGGCAGTGAACTATTCGCTCAGTTGATCCTGGGAGCTGCTGGTTAGCTGAGTCTCTGGGACAGGCTTGGCGGGCCGTGGGCTCCTTGTGAATATATATGGTTCTGACAGGCCTGTGCCCCACGCCCTTATGAGTCAGGATTAACAGAAAACAGACACTCCTCTACTTCTCTAAAAAAGGTCAGTTTAAAAAGGAAAAAAATAAAAACCACGGTTGTGTCTTTGGAAGCTACGGTGAGGAAAAAGGACTAGCGATTAAAGGAGGAAGACAGGTGCTTAAAGAGAGCTCTCAGGAAGTATGTGACAGGGTACATAGATCACAGGGCCAGCTAGCAAGGCATGTAGGCTCTGCTGGGGGCAGAGGTTAGGGAGCAGGCTGAGATTAAATCAGGCATTCCTGATGAATGTTTTCAAGTAGTTGTCAGCCACTCCCAGAAGGATGGAGTAAGCCTCACTAAGCAGGAGGAAAGTGAACCTCCTAGGGGCTCAGTAAGGAACACAGTAAGCAGATGGGAGAGCCCAGGTCACACCTAGCTTGTTTGATCCAAAGGCTGCCTGCCCTCTAGGCTTCATAGCACCCAGACCTCTGCTTTGAAAGGGGAATTTATATTTATTTGTGCTTGATGTCAAATACTTTCTGTCTGCCTCTGGCACTCTGGGTGTCCTGCTTCAATACATTTCTGATCCTCCAAATTGCAGTGTTTATTTTCTCTTTACTACCTGAAGTCATCCTCTTCCTGCTAGTTGCTGTAAGGACTGAGAGAAGGCAGCCCTGCCAGCCTCATACCTGCTGTCCTGTGTAGTTAATGTTCTGTGGATCACTCCCTTTCCAGAAGAACCATTTGCTTATAATTGTGGCACTTAAGTTGTTTGCCTGGCCTTTCTTTTTCTCCTTTTGGAATGGAAAACAGAAATGAAAATGGCTTCAGTTTCCTCATCAGAGACTAAAAACAGTCTATTTGCTTGATTCACAGCTGGAATAAATAAAAAGATTCCAGATGCTGCTGCCAAAGCCCAGTGGTGCTTGTGCTAGATCTATTTTTTTTTTTTTTTTTTTTACATTTTTAGAAATAGGAGTTATCTTGCCAAAATTGACTTTGAACTTCTGGATTCAAGTAATCCTCCTACCTCAGCCTCCCAAGTAGCTGGGACTACAGGTGCATATCACCATGTGCAGATCTTTTGACTTTTCTTTTTTAAAGAGAAGCCAGAAATCTCAATTTTTAAATGTTGATACCTTAAAAGTAAAGTTTATTATCACAACCAAATTAAACATGATGACGACCAAATGCTGGCTTTGGAACTGTCTCTTATAGTACCTGCCAGGCTAAGGGATGAATGAGGCTGAGGGATTGCATGGTGTGATTCTGAAGTCTGACACTTCTAGATAAGTAGAATCAGGCTGGGCAGGATTGAGGTGAGGAAAGGAGACTGCTACTTCCTGCACCTGGGGCAAACGTGTGGCTGTAGGACGTACAGGGTGCTGAGGGAGGAGAGAGGATGTGTATTTCCTTACCTGGACTGGCAGGAGTCTCCCATGGGTTATACTGAATCATCCTGGATTTCTAGGTTAAACTTGCTGCCTTTTTCAGGAGACAGGTCAGCTGCCTAAACAAAGACTCAGAAACAAGATAGAAGTTTGTCTGTCTCATAGTAGTCTGAGTATGAGCAAAACAGACCAGGGTTCGCTTTTTTTCTTCCTGCATTGTCATGGCTCATCCTCATGACCCAAGGTGAGTCACCTGTCTGTCACCTGGAAGGAGAGGAAAGGGTGGATGATGAAGGCCATTGCGCTTCCTTCAAAGGACAAGATCCAGCCTCTGATTGAGTCACTTCTGTTCACAGCCCATTAGCCAAAACTTGGTGACACGGCTACACCTTATTCTAGGAAAGGACAGAGAATGTGTGTTTTAGCTAGAGGACTGTATATCAGCTAACAATTATATATGACATCAGAAAGAGAGAATAGGTATAGTCCAGGATTTAGCAGTCCTCTACATTTGCACTTGTGGGTTTTAGGATTTGTGAGGTCAAGTACCTCTTATATCACCCTCAATTGAAATTTTCTAATTATTGGGCATCACCTGTGGCTCAAGAGGTAGGGCGCTGGCCCCATATGCTGGGAGTGGCGAGTTCAAACCCAGCCCTGGCCAAAAACTGCAAAAAAAAAAAAAAAAAATTCTAATTATTCTAGAAAGACCCTGTTAGCACAATGAAAGGTGATACTCACCATTAATTTTTCCTATTTTAGATTCTTATGGTATGATTACATTTAATAGCATGGTGAGTTTTTGTTTGTTTGCATAGTAGATCTAGAGAAGTGGTTTTCAAACTTTTTGGTTTGGGAACACCTTTGCACTCTTAAGAATTACTAAGGACACTAAAAAGCTTTTTTTATATGAAGTTATATTTCTTTATATTTGCTGTCTTAAAAATTAAAACTGACATTGAAATGAGTGTACAAATAAACATTCCATTAACTGTTTTATCCCCTGCAAATCTCTGCTGGGTGAGAAATTGATGATAAAAAAGCAAGTAATATTTTAGTAATATCATGACAATAATACTGACTTCACAGACCGCCTCAAAGGATCTTGGGGAACCTAGATCATACTCTGAGAATCACTGATCTAGAGAAGCTACCTACTCAGGTGACTTTGTAATTGTTTATATTGCAACTATAAGTACCAAGACTGGAGATTAAAACATAAAGAAATTAAGACAAGATCACTGTCATCAAGTAATTAATGATTCAGAAAATACCTGTGACCTTCTTTCATCTTAGCTTTGAGGGAAGTTGGTTTCTCTTTCTGAATTCTTTCTTTTTTCTTTTTCTTTTTTGAGACAGAGTCTCACTGTGTCACCCTCAGTAAAGTGCGGTGGTGTGATAGCTCACAGCAACCTCAAACTCTTGGGCTCAAGCAATTCTCTTGCCTCAGACTCCCAAGTAGCTGGGACTACAGGCACTGGCCACAAGGCCCTGCTATTTTTTTTTTTTTTTTTTAGAGATGAGGTCTAGTTCTGGCTCAGGGTGGTCTTGAACTCCTGAGCTTAGAGTACCCCCAAATCATATAAACCTGAGACTTATTTAAAATGCAGACTCTTGGGACGTATCCACGACAGCCTCCCAGAGTGCTAGGATTACAGGCATGAGCCACTGCACCTGGCCCTCTCTTTCTCAATTCTTGGTAAATTTGTATGTGGGAATTAACAGCAGTTGTTTTTATCTGTAGTAATTTAATAACTTCTGGTGTTTAAGATATGTTTAAACATTTCACACATATAGAGGCTCACTACAGAGAAGTTTGTTTTTGTGCACACATATCATTGTTTTCTGTGGTCACCCAACCCTGCATCCCACTGCCTCCTTCGGGAAAATAGAGCATTTTACATATTCAGTCATCTTTGTAGCCAGGTAGCCAGGTTGCAGGCATGTGACCCAGACTCTGCTAGGCAGACACCTCCCTCTCATGCTCTGAAATAGAAACTAGGGCCATATAGAAGTACATGGCAGCTGCATGTCATCTCCAAGGCAGCAGCTAGTTGCTGGAGTTGCTGGTGTTGGTGGTGGAGGCTGCAGACAGGTAACAAACAGCACACAGTACTGCGGTGTGATTTTGAGCGATGTTCTTGGTTGTGGAGGTTCCAAGCCTGATATCTCCAGCCCTCCTGGAAATTTGTAGTTTTTCCATTATTTCTCTAAGAATTCAAGAGTCAGTGCCTTTGCCTACAACTAAGAATCCTGTTTAATACATTCTCAAATGCCCTCGCAAGGTGCTGTTTGGAAACTTCATGTGTCAGAATCATATCCTGACAGTGCCACTTTGTGGACTGAAAACAGATGGATTCGGACTCCTTGTGGGTGAGTCCCAAGAGTCTGCATTTTAATTAAGTCTCAGGTTTATATGATTTGGGGGTACAGTAAAATTTAAGAACCGCTGCTTCAGTGTTTCCAACTTGTAAAATTATTTTCTCTCTTTTTATGGAGCTGAGTAACCCTTAAAATAAATAATTCTGGTCTTTTACAAGTCCCCAATCAATGACTGATAGTATTCCCTGGTCCCCCTCTCTTCCCACTCACAGTCCCGGAAGCCTTTGTTCTGTCTCTTTAGCTCTTAAAGTCTTTTTTTCAAGTCTGTTTCTTCTCACTGAGAAGTGATGATCCCCGGCTGGGATTGCTTGCGTTCAGTGGTGCCAGAGCCCTCAGCTCAGGTTTGAAACTATGCTCTGACTGTGGCTCTCTCCTGGTCATTTCTTTCTTAGATGTGGTAACCTGCAGACTTAGAGTTCATTTTTATAACCTGCAGCTTTAGAGCTCAAGAAGAAGGTGAACTTAGTTTATAACCCTGCATAGAGTTCTAAGTAAAAATAGTCTTCAGAGGATTCATATTGATGGCTGGTCACACATCACTTCCCTTCATACGTCCACTTTTGATAGTCACCTTCAAGCAACCATAACCACCTTCAGTTTTGTATTTTCGGGAAGAGATTTCTTTTCTTTCTTTTGAAGTGTCTTACTCTGGGTAGAGTGTCATGGCATCATAGATCCCAGCAACCTCAAATTCTTGGGCTCAAAAGAGCCTCTGGCCTCAGCCTCCCAAGTAGCTGGGACCTCAAGCACCCACCACAATACCCGGCAAGTTTTTCTCTTTTAGTAGAGATGGGGTCTGGCTCTTGCTCAGGCTGGTCTGGAACTCCTGAGCTCAAGCAATCCACCTGCTTCAGCCTCCCAGGCTGCTAGGATTACAGGCCTGAGCCATCATGCCTGGTGGTCAGGAAGAGATTCCTGACAGTCTCCGGTTATATAAGTTATTTCGATTTGTCTATGTTCTGAGGCAGGAATAACTTTGGGGGTTGAACTTTGAGACTTTGTTTCTCACAAAATAACCATAGCTCTGCTGTTTGTCTTTGACACAGATGAAGTGATTGGGCAGGAGCAGTGAACATCCTCATTTTGGAGACAGAACAGCATGGATCAGCCATTTACTGTGAATTCTCTGGTAGGTCACACCAACTGATGTCTAACATATGGTTGGAAAGCCCAAAAGGAAGAACAAAACATACCAAATGTGAAATGAGTCACAATGACTTTAAAAAGGTTTTAACACTTGTCGTTTTTCATCAGTGTGGCCATCCCTTTGAGGAAGTGACTAATATAGCCATCTTCACAAGACTTAAAAATAGATTCTCCCCCCCCCCAAGTCTGAGATTTTATCTGGCAAGATTCCAGGAGTGTAATTTTGAGGCAAACATTGGAGAGAAAAGTTTCAGAGTTGACATCTTAGCAGGTACTGAAACCCGTGCCTCAGCTTCTTTGTAGATAAAAATGGAGGCTCCCCTGTGGGTAATAACGAAGGAAAATGTCTATTTGACACCCAGGTGTTCCTTTGGAATCTCCTGGGAAAATACCTGCACACTTGAAACTTTTGTTCTCACTTGTCCCCTCATTGCCCAGAACCACACTCACTTTCTCTAGCACCGTGTTCACAGAAGCTTGTGCTTAGAGAGGAAATAACGGGGGCTGTGGGATCACATGGGCTCAATTCTGCGTCCCAGATTAGTCTCTGAGTGTGAGTATAGGCATGTTATGTAATCTCCATGGCCCCGATTTTGTACTTTTCTGCCTTATGACAATTGGAAACAATTTTTTTTTTTTTTTTTTTTGAGACAGTCTCACTCTGTCAGCCTAGCTCCCAGCAACCTCAAATTCTTGGGCTCAAGTGATCCTTTGACCTCAGCCTCCTGAGTAGCTGGGACTACAGGCACCTGCCACAACGCCTGGCTAGTTTTTTCTATTTTAGTAGAGATAGGGTCTTATTCTTGCTCAGGCTGATCTTGAACTCTTGAACTCAAGCAATCCACCTGCATCAGCCTTCCAGATTGCTGTGATTACAGATGTGAGCCACTGTGCTCTACCAGAACAATATTTTTGATGCTCCCAGCCTGTTACTGTGGCTTGATAAATGGAAGCTGCCATTGACATTTCCATCTGCCTGATGACCCTCCCCAACCCATTCATGGCAGTCCTGTGTGGTGCCCAGCAGTACATACTCCATACCCCATACCCACAAAGCCTGGCATCAGCACATAAAAAGAGGGTCTGGTTCTTGCACTGAAACACATGGTGACCTAATGTTTTCTCTTGATCAAAAAAGTCCTTCACAAAAGCTTCATTGTTTCAGAATATGTATAGAGGTGGATGACTGAAGATACTTTTCTACTTTCTGACCTCATGTTTTCATTTTCCCCTCTAAAGAGGAAGAAGCCATCTTTATGGTATGCCATCCGTGTTTTTCTACAGCATTCTATAGAAATGATTAAAATTGTATTATATTACATGTGTTACTAGAAAAATAAACACTAAGCCTTTTCCTCTGGAAAATTTATCTTTATCCAAGAAGCTCGCATGCAAATGAAATCTTACAGGTTGATACAGACTTTAGGCTGTATTCCAGCTTATTTCTGAAATCAGTTTTAAGTTGGGGAAGAATAGGCTCAGTTGATAAAGGAAAAATAAATCTTATTTCTGTCTTCAGGGGGAAAAGGCAATCTAGTCTCTTTTTTCTCCTCTTTCTCTCTCAGTTCTTTCTCTTTCACCTGATACGTGTGCTATCACCTGGGTTGGTAGCAGGGCATATGTTACCCAGGGAACAGAAAATTATTCCTTTCAAAATCCCAAAGAGTTTGTAAGGGGTTAGAAACACTTGTACAGAAATAATTATAATTCAGTGTGGGCTGAATAACAGTAAAAACATAAACACATTCTTTTTGTATATGTGGAAGGCTGGAATTAGAGAACAGGCTCTAATTTTCATGGATTTTTTTTCCAGTCATTTTATGATATTGAAGTAATGATCTGTGCTCAAATAACAATATTCGTTTAGTGCTGTAGTGAGTGTGATGGGGTAAAAGTGAATAGATTGCTGTGGTATCTGAGATGTCTCAAAATACTTAAAGCTGACGCTCGGAGCTCACAAGCTCCGCTTCCTGTCTCTGATGTGGGGAAGCCACATAATAGAAGATGCAGGAGACAACAATGTACTTTTAACTTAATGGAGCCTTGAGAAACAAGTTTATGGTGCTCTTGTTATATATTAAACCTTTAGGACCAATCTCTGTGGTTCTGTCGGCTATAAAATTACCACCAAAGTAGACCAGATGGCATTGGAGAAACTCCAGCTATCTAATTTACTGCACCCTGCCTCTGAAAGTTGGTTCAGTAAATTATGGCTAGACTGAAAGCATGCCTGCTTGATTTCTTTCTTGGCTTCCTATAGACCTGAATCAAGTGCTTCATGTACAGTGTAGTCAGACTTGCAAATTACCCTTCCCTGATCGAGGAGGCCATGGAAAGGTAAATTTGCTCTGGACTGACTCCATTCTTGGAACCTTAGTGAGGGTAGAGTGGTTGATCTGGAGTTGAGCTTCTCAAACTGCAGCTTGTGTCAATGCCTCTGAGCCCATAGATTCTCCAGTCACCCTCTAAGGATCCTGCAGCTGTAGATATGAGGCTGAGCCTATTGGTGAGAATCTCCCAGCTGATGCTGATGCCACTGGTACATCATAGATTAACACACATTGGTCTAAAGCAAGGGTCAGAAAACTGTGCTTTAAGGGCCAAATCACCTACTTGTTTTTATAAATAAAAATAAAATAAAAATATTTGAAACACAGCCGGGCCCATTTGTTTGTATTTTGTTTGTGGCAGTGATCTCTCCGAGAGAGATGAATGCAAGTTGCTGCAGAGACCATATGGCTGGCAAAGCCTAAGATATTGGCTATGCCGCCGTAACAGAAAACAGTTTCCTGACATTTTTGGCTTTCTCAAGCACTGATTTTTTATTGAATAATTATTCTAAATGTTTGTGTTCTATGGTTTACCAAGTGTGTATAGATACAGTTTTTATGAATAAAATCCAAATGTATTAATTATTAACACTGACTTTTTCTTAGTAACTTATGTCCTCAGTTAAGGGCTCATTAACAGTGTAATTACTGTTTTGTGGAGGTCTAAGAGTTTTTACGTTTTTTAGAAAAGTATATGTTTTTGTGCTTGAAAAGCTTTCTCTGGGCCTTTTGGTAAGTTCTTTTTTTACTTAAAGAAGATGCAGAGAAGACCTTAAAACTTATTAAACTAGATGTATTCTAGAATAGAACTGAACTCTTATGCAGTGTTGTTCAACCTTTTTTATCTCATGGCACGTTTGAACCTCTAGTTTCAGGGCACATATATAAATTATGTTTATAAAAAATAAAAAAAGCAAGAGATAAGCCAGGCATGGTGGCTCACTCCTATAATCCTAGCACTATGGGGGACTGAGATAGGTAGATTTGCCTGAGCTCAGGAGTTCCAGCCCAACCTTAGCAAAACCCCATCTCTGCTAAAAATAGAAAAACTTGCTGGGTGTGGTGGTTCACACCTGTAATCCTAGCTCTCTGGGAGGCTCAGACATGTGGATTGCCTGAGCTCAGGAGTTTGAGACCAGCCTGAGCAAGAGTGAAACCCCCATCTCTAAAAAAAATAGCTGGGTATTGTGGTGGGTGCCTGTAGTCTCAGCTACTTGGGAGGTTGAGACAAGAAGATCACTTGAGCCTAAGAGTTTGCGGTTACTGTGAGCTAGGGTGATGCCACAGCAGTCTACCCAGAAAGACAGGAGTGAGACTGTCCCAAAAATACAAACAAACAAACAAAAAAACCCTAGTTCTTTGTACCCTCAATGAATCCCCAATGATAAAAGAAAAGTCAAAAAAGAATATACTTAATTTCTTTCAAAAATAACTTAATTCATGATCTTTAAAAATTTTCACATCACACCTAAAATCGTCTCCTGGCACACGGTTGAAATCACTGCCTTATAATAACCTGTAATCCAAACTACATCCTGGAGACCCTTTGGAGTAGAATAGAATGACGTGAGCCCTACCATCAGGCATCCATCTGGCGGCCTGCTTCTCAGTATCCAGAATGCAAACATTCACAGGGATTTGAAGACCAATATCCTCGTATCAAATATTTTAGATGTTTTACCCAAAATAACCTAAAACATTTATATGCCCAGAAACTTCCACAAAATTGTACTCCAAAATGTAACAAGACATCTTTCTGCAATAAAAATACATTTACCCTGGATATATGTCTTTCTGGGATACAGACCATGTGTCACAGCAAGAAGACTTGACTTTGATCATGTTGACTCTTACAAAAGGATTTTTCTAGGTATCGGTATCAGGTTTTTAGTAGATGCTAGTCATATTTTCTTAATCAGAGACTTAAATTTTGCTTTGCAGAAAAAGTTAGCTGCTATGCCTGACCATACCGATGTTTCTCTAAGCCCGGAAGAGCGAGTCCGTGCCCTGAGCAAGCTCGGCTGTAACATCACCATCAGCGAAGACATCACTCCGCGGCGCTACTTTCGATCTGGAGTAGAAATGGAAAGGATGGCGTCTGTGTATTTGGAAGAAGGAAACTTGGAAAATGCCTTCGTTCTTTATAATAAATTTATAACGTAAGTTTTTTTAGAGGCCTTTGAAATGAGAACATTGGGAAAATATTTACGTGATACTTTGATGTGACATTTTTGATACTGGGAATAATTTCATATTCAGACCGATATTACCATCTCCAGAAGTACTAAATGTCTAAGTTTCTAATTACCTAGGAGTACACTCAGAGGCATCCCCATGTCCTATGGGGGTGGGAAGAAGGTCAGGGCGGGGATGAGGCTTAAGGACATCGGATTTCTTTTCAATAGGCCAGCATGGTAGCCTGCCAGTCTCACCCTTCACAAACCCAATCTCTTGATGTGTATCCTCTCCTCTGCAGGAATGTAAACTTTGTGAGAACAGGAGCTATATTGCACCTCCATCTTTGTCATGGAACAAAGGAACAAATGTTCCTTTGTGATGGAACTTGCCATCAACACTTTAAAACTTTGATTTGGTAGTTTGAGACTAGTTGGCAAGCTGTGGAACAAAGGAAAGATCCGATTCCGATTCAGGGACAGGATATAGTGATCAGTTTCATGGAGTACCCGTTTTTATTTTTTTAAAGAAGTGCATTTGATTGCATGAGAGTGCCATACACAAAAGAGCTTTCAGAAGGTTGAATGAAAATGGCTACAGCAAAACAGCCGTGAGAAATATATTTCCTATTAGGGAAATACTTGTCAGTAGCAGCTCCTAGTTTAAGAATTGACAAAATGAGATTTGGACTTTCCTTACTAATTTGGCAACTTACAGATTGAAAGGATTTCCTGTTATCAATAATTTTTTTGTTTTGAGTTACATATTTTATTAGTTTATTTTTTAATTTCGTATTTTATTTTTAGCTGACAAATAAAAATTATATATAGTGTGCATCATGATATTTTAATATATACATGCCTACATTGTGGAATAACTAAATGAAGCTTAATTCACATACCCATTACCCACATACTGGTTTTTTTGTTTTGTTTTGTTTTGTAGTGAGAACATTTAAACTCTCTTAGCAATTAAGTCCACGATACTCTATTATTCACTATAATCACCACGCTGTACACTGCCTCTCCTGACTCCTGTCTAACTGAGATTTTGTATTCTTCGACCAACATCACTCTGCCCTGCCCTGTTGCCCCACGCCCCAGCCCTTAATAACTACTACTTTAGTTCTCTACTCCTGTGAATTTGACTTGTTACGATTCCTTCCACATATAACTGAGATCAGTATTTGTCTTTCTGTGACTAATTTAATTTCACTTATAATTTCTCTAGCGCAGTTGGCGAATTCCCCCAATAACGTTTAAGGAAGTTGAGAAGAAAATATTTTACAAACTGTATTCCATGATTCTACAAAGAGCAAAATTAAAATCAGTTTGCATGGCATACAAATTGAGATGTGCATTTTATTTTCTGAGGCAGGGTCTTGCTCTGTTGCCTAAGCTAGAAGACAGTGGCATCATCTTAGCTCACTGCAATCTCAAACACGTGGGCTCAAGTTATCCTCCTGCCTCTGCCTCCTGAGTAGCTGGGACTACAGCCGTGCACAGCCATGTGGCTTACTTTGTAGAGATGAGGTCCTGCTATTGCCCAGGCTGGTCTTGAACTCCTGGCCTCAGAAAATCCTCCTGTGTCAACCTTCCAAAATGCTAGGATTCCAGGCATGAGCCAGTAGATTGGTAGGGATCAGCATCAAAAAGCTGCTTAACTTGAAAATTTAGAGAATGGCTAGCAATGTTTACCCTACCTGGGGAATTCTTTTAATGTTTGGAAAGTTAAGCTTTAAATATGAAATTAAAAGTTATGATCCATTATTATTAGCCAGATATTTCCAAACTTTTTATTTCTGAACTGAAAGTTACCAATTGATACTTTCTTTTCACCTCCTGCTTTGGCTTTGCGTATGAACCACGGAATTGTGAATGTGGTGAAAGGGAAAATTCACCCTACCCTCCGAATTGCTGAGTAATCAGAACATTTGAGTTCTCCTCTGACGTTAGTGGTGGGATGATTTGTAATTCATTTATTCTCTGTGGGCCTCCCTTCTTCATCTATAAATGCAAAACTACGTATCTGTGATTTTATTCTATTTATAAAGTCTTAGGCAATGATCGACTTTTATGTAGCCCCTTTAAGCCTTCATGCTCTCCTTTGAGAAGTAGGAATTATGCTACTTTTCCTTTCTACTCTATAGCCTTTTCATTAGGTAAGATGAGATGATGAAAATATACAAAGAATATGTGTGTATATTTGTGTGTGAGAGAGAGGTTCATAAACAACAGAATCATTACATATAAAGAATAACACAGGAGTGGATCGAAAACAGCCCTTACAGCCCACTATGCTCTATCAAGAAAGAGTCCATTCATTTTACAAACATTTATCGGACACTTACTTTGAGCTGAATACTATTCTTCAGATTGAGGATATATCAGCAAATAAAAAGGGGAATCCTCTGCCCTTGTGGAAGTATTACCTTCACTTTACCTGGAAGTGATGCACCTGGTTTGCCATAGGTATTTTCTTTTAAGTCTCTTGTTCCTCAAAAAGGTGATGAGAAATAATTAACTCCTAATCAGCACTTTCTACTTAACTAGGGGGTCTGGTTGCCATTTCCCTTCATTATGATTTTCAGTTAAGAGTTCTTAGCACATACCCAATGGTACTGATTCCTCCATGGTCATTTGATTCTTTCTCAAGGGTGAGAAGGGATTTATATCAGTCGTTCCAAACTCTTATGTTTTTATGTGGTCCTCTCTGTTGCCAGCAGTAGTGTAAAGAAGAAAATGATGCTTTGGTGGGGTTAAGTGTCCAGGACCTGAGAATGGTCAAAGTGACTTGTTTTATTTAGGGCATACCCTGTTCCTAAGCCAGTTAACATCAATGCTTAGTTTTTTGAGCTCAACTACCCCGTAATACCAAAATAATACTCATGCCAACCTTTAGTGAGGAGACAGATGGCAAGACTGTAGGTTAAATAATTTATTAAATATGACATTTTTGAAACTGATGCTCATTGTCATGGTAGCAAGCATTACTGAACCTTTGCTGTCACTTAATCCTAAGGGCATGTTTTCTCTTTCTCCAGCTTATTTGTAGAAAAGCTTCCTAGCCATCGAGATTACCAGCAATGCGCAGTACCTGAAAAGCAGGACATTATGAAGGTATTACGGGGTTGATTTCCACTGTGGGATCAAATGCTCCCTAAGTATCCATTATTGATTCAGCCCTCTCCGCCCTTCCTCCTTCTCTTCCTCTTGAGAGTTTGAGGGCAAGAATTCATTCCATTAGCCATGATGTTTCGATTCCTTCTTAGACATTTAATGATCATTACTGAGCCAGTGTGGGGTGTCTAATTGATGGTAAGGGGAAAGAAACAAAGAAAAAGGTCACCTTAGGGTGTGAAAAGAAATTATTTTATAGTTCCTCCCAGAGATTGAGAGAATGGGTGTCTATTTCTCTGAACATGCATACGATAATCATATTGGCTGGCTTTGATTATTCTGTACAGCCCTGAACCAAACTATTTCAAAATCAGTGTTGCTTATTAAGGTAGCCACAGAGCTCTAGCCATTTACTTCCTGTGGCCCTGGGCTTTTAGATAATACAGTGTTGTTGGTAGGGGTGAGAGTGGTCTAAAATACTCTCAAGGAAGAAAAAAGATTGTTGCCAATGCATTTATGAATCATCAACATTTTCTACATTTATACTTCCAAATATCTCTAGCTGAAAATAACATTCTGTTAAATAAACATTTTAAATGTTTCCAGTTTATTTGCCTTAGCTAGCTCATGTTGATCTTATATGAAAGCAGGTAAAAACAAAGTCTGCAAAGCCAATCACAAATCACAGATGAAATTTTAAATAACTTTTGAAAATTCTTTTACCATACAATGATATAAAGGCTTTCCTGCAAGTCTTTTCAGGCCTGAGGCTGCATGGAAGTAAAACTTGGATTTTGTCAAAACTGTCACGTACATTTTTTTAATGTATACACTGGCTTATCTGCAGAGTCACTCATTATCATGTTATTTCTGTAGCATTTTTCTTCTCTTCTCTTGTTCATTCAACCTCAAAGAGTTCTGTATGGAAACCAGCAGAACGTGGTTGGTTTCCAACCAACTTGGCTGGTTCCAGGCAGCCAAGGTAACCCTTACACTATAATTTAGGGTTATTCTTATTTGTAGGACAAAAACAAATTCTCCAAAAACAAATACATTTCATTTAGTTGTGCTTGTTGCATAGACGGACAGGTGAATGAATAAATGAACAAATGACAAAGAATTAAGAGAACAGAAACTTTGGTGGAAGAGCCTGGTTTAGAGTCAGGAGACTTGGGTTCTAGGCCTGACTGGGCCACTAGCTGGTTGGATAAGACTGGACCAGACTTTCAATCTCTCTAAACCTTTATTTCCTCACCTCTAACAAGAGGACTAGCAGTTGGACTATATCAGGTTTCCCAGATCTTCCTACCATTAAAAATCACTGTGGAAGGTGTTTGAGCTCCAGATTCCCCAGCATCTTCTCCAGAGATGTTTGTTCAGTTCATCTGGGATTAGCCCTGCGAATCTGTATTTTTTGAAAAGTGCCTCATCTGCTTTTTACAGTCTGGCATGTCTAGGAATCTCTGTCCACCTTATATTCTCTAATGTCCCATCTAACTCTGATGCTGTGTGACTTATGTACTGTGGAATGTGTTGTTGATTACAAACTCGGTACCTCAAAGTGGTGAACCTGCCTAAACAAAGTGCTTATCTAAACAATAGAGTCAGTAAAGTTCTTTCAGAAGGGATAATATTTTTTCTTCCCTGCAGAAAAAGAATATTTTAGATCCCTGAAAAGAGAGAGATTTGTTTTCGTGCCATCATCTTTGGTTACTCCGTTTCACTTGGTTTCTACTACACACAGCAGCTGTTTTTCTTTCTCAGCTGACGATCTGAGAGAGTATGTTAAAAATCCCACTAACCAATACGAATATTTTTTTTAAAAGAAACTGAAGGAGATTGCATTCCCAAGGACAGATGAATTGAAAAAGGACCTTTTAAAGAAATATAACATAGAATACCAAGAATATTTGCAAAGCAAAGTAAGTTCAATTGGTACATTTATTTCATGACTGTTTTCTATGCAGATATTTTCAGAGTATCATTTTTATGTGATGACTTTTTAAATATATGCATTTAAATTAAAGACGCAATGATGTGAAACCAATAAAAAAAATTTATGTTGATGTCCAGGTTAAGCACATGGACCAAAGATATGGTATTTCCTTTTCCTTACAACATCTAATGAAACAACGCATCAGAAAATAGATTTCTCACAGGGATTTAAGTAGAGATTTTTGACCAACTCTTGCCAGTGGTAACCTTGAGCCTGGTGGCTGTTCTTTGGTAGATGAACAGACATAGTAGGAAGTACGGAGAGCAGTGCCTGGTTTCAGATGGGCCTAATTACATAGGCCTGGGAAATGTGAATTTGATTCTTAAATATTACTATCAATATTTGATTGAGATGGAATAACAGCTACCTATATAATGAAATGTAATTGTATCACCAATCTAGATGTTCTACTAGATTGTTATTAAATAAAGAGTGAACATGATAGTTGTTTCTTAGAATAAACAAGAAGGCATTGAATGGAAAATGACCAGTCAGCTTATGGGATACTCAAGTTCAGCTTGTGAATTCATAATTTTTATGGCTTTATTATAAACGTGGTTTTGCTTTTCTCACTTGTGTTCTATTTGCTTTGGAGGGTGTGTCCCTCACTGACTCTCTCTTCAGTTCAGTTTCTTCAGCTCTGAAAACCGTCATTTTGCTTTTTGATGTTCTATGGGCATAACCGGAAGACTGCTTTGAGCAAGATGTTTCCACTAAGTGGTAGAAGGGATGTTGAAATTGGAAGTTTCCCTCAAGTGTGGATATTAATAATTTGCTTTGAAATCTAAAAGATAAAAATGATCTTGAAGGTGAGGACAAAGAAGTAGCAAGAGAGAGGAGAGCCAAGTTCAGGACTCCCTTCCCCTCTGTGCAGGGTGTACCATCCTCCCCTCAGCACCTCCCTGGGAGGAGCAGCCTTGGCAGCTACTGTCTGGTCTGCCTTTGGCGTTGCCCATCACCTCACAGCCCACACTAGTATTCCTTGTAGAAATCTGTGCAGGGGATGGCGTGGCAGCCTCTGTGCCCAGAGAGCCCTCAGGATAGCAGCATCACATGGAGGCTTGTTAGACATGCAGTGTCTTAGGACCCAGTCCAGACCTGCTGAATCAGAATTTGCACCTGTAATAAGACCCAGGGTGATTCCTAATCACCTAGAAACGCTACTGTATCCTTCACGCAACCCCCACTTTAAAATCTGGTTTTATTCAAAGTCCTTTGTGGAGCTTATAAGAATTTCATATTCTCTGACATAATAATGCTTGGATATCTGGTTAGGACTGGAGAGCTTAGGTGACTCATTGTTAGCACAACATTTGTTAAGTTCTGATAGAGATGGTTGATTGAGATGTATTTGGAGAACTGTTTTGTAGTGATTTCCTTTTCTCTATAAAGTTCCAGCAGAGGATTTCTAAAGGCAAATACGGAAGGTTGTAGGGCAGCACTGTCCCGTAGCACTTCCTGTGAGGGTGGACATGTTCTGTTTAGTAGCCACCAGCCATATGTGGCTATTGGGTACTTAAATATGACTAGTGAGACTGAGGAACTAAATTCCTTACTTCACTTAATTTTAATTAATATAAGTTTAAGTAAGCACCGGTGGCTGGCAGCTACTGTATGGGAGAGCAGTCTAGGGGTGAGGCATTTATTCCATATGGTCTGGTTGATCAGGCTGAGCAGACAACCTTGACCTTGACTGTCTAGTATTTAGATGTGCAAGGAAATTGCGGGATTGCCACGGCCTGTCTCTGGTAAGATATGAGTGGATTTAGATCTGCTGTCTAAATCAGATCCAGGGGCTTTTGTGTACTTCCAGCATCTAGTCTGTTCTCTGTCTGCTAGAAGACTGAAAGTGTCTAATCCCAGTGCAATGTTTTTGCCTGAAAAACTAACTTCTCTTCTGGCCACCTCGTTTTTTAGAACAAATACAAAGCCGAAATTCTCAAAAAACTGGAGCATCAGAGACTGATAGAGGCCGAAAGAAAGCGGATTGCTCAGATGCGCCAACAGCAGCTAGAATCAGAGCAGTTTCTGTTTTTTGAGGACCAACTCAAGAAGCAAGAATTAGCCCGCGGTCAGATGCGAAGTCAGGAGCCCGCGGCTGTGCTGTCGGAGCAGATCGATGGGAGCGCTTTGTCCTGCTTTTCCCCACACCAGAACAATTCCTTGCTGAATGTATTTGCAGATCAACCGACTCAAAGTGAAGCGACCAGTCATGCTGGCCACTCTCCTCCTGTCAACAGGGCCTTAACACCAGCTGCGACTCTAAGTGCTGTTCAGAGTAAGTGAGGAATTCAGCCCTACAAGACCTTGAGGCTCCTCAGTGAACGAGACTGTATTTTGTCACTGAGCAGAAATTTTATTTATTTATTTATTATTTGTTTGTTTGTTTGAGACAGAATCTTGCTTTGTTGCCCTCAGTAGAGTGCTCTGGCATCACAGCTCACAGCAACCTCAAACTCTTGGGCTCAAGTGATCCTCTTGCCTCAGCCTCCTGAGTAGCTGGGACTACAGGTGCCCACTATAACAACCGACTATTTTTAGAGACAGGGTCTCCTCTTGCTCAGGCTGATCTCAAACTCCTGAGCTCAAATAAACCACCTACTTCGGCCTCCCAGAGTGCTGGGATTACAGACATGAGCCACCGTGCCTGGCCTTAAACAGAGATTTTAAATGAGAATCCCAATCATTTCTTTTTCTTCCATGTATTTTAACTAAGAAACACATACATCTTAAAGGTAAACACTTGTACTGGAGAGAGGAAAGATGTAGAGAAAACCGAATGTTTAACCCTAGTATGTTTAGCGTTATCTCTGGAGAGAATCTCACGCCCACAGAGTGTTGAACAGACTACGCCTGTGTTTCTACAGCAGTTAGTGCTACTCAGTACTGCCCCATCGGTGCTGGCGGGTTTCCAAAATCAATTAGCGAATTCTTCCTGACATGTCAGGTGGAATTGGTGTTCTCATTTATTTTAAATGAGTTATGATAGATGACCCTTTCATAAGTTACCTTACTGCTAATAATTATTTCCCCAAATGTTGTGCTATTACTTACTGATCACCAACTTTCATAAAGATGTGAGTCCATAGTAAATGCGGTAAAGAATGTTTAGCCTGTCTTACAGCATAGGAGGTGCGTTCTGTGCAGCCGATGCATTTCACAGAAAGCCTGGGTTAGGCTCGTTGCACAAGAAAACACACCTGTAAATAATCGGTCAAGAGCACAAACATGTAAGGTGCTGGCACTTTGCCACTTGGTTTGTAAACAATTTAGATACAAAATGTGGTTTTTACCTTCCTTCTAGACAATGTTTACCTTTATGAATTTTAAATAAAACATGGAAAGTGGAGCACCTGATAATTTTGTGTTTGAAAATTATATTTAACTGCAACTGCTTGCCAAGACCATTTCTGAAGGATGGGGATGAGAGATTTGTCTTTTAGCTGCTTCTCCTTTTTCTGTTTCTTAGATTTAGTGGTTGAAGGACTGCGATGTGTCGTTTTACCAAGAGATCTTTGCCACAGATTTCTGCAGCTGGCGGAATCTAATACAGTGAGAGGAATAGAAACCTGTGGAATACTCTGTGGAAAACTGGTATGGTCTTTTTTCTTAGCTTTCATCTTTAGCTTTCTTGGGATAAGCAGGACAGAATAGAAGCTTGCTGGGAGTTGCAAATGTTGTGAAATTAACTTTATGTAGATTGATTTCCTAAAGCTACAGTTATTAATACAATTATCCTTCTAGAAAGTGGATTGTAAAATTTCAGGGTCACAATGAAGCCTTGTTTTAAAGAGTCAGTCAAACCAAAATTAAATCTTTGCTTAGAAAAATGGTATAGATTGTGGGTATGTGGATTTCCATCTAATTTGCTAGAACATGTTTCCATTGTAACCGTTAGTTTTACATACATTCATATAATTCATCTTCTACCTATTACTACCTCTGGTAAGTATCATCTTGCCATCCCTTTTCAGATACTCTTGGAACAAAACTCAGATTTTGTTGTGTTCTTTCGTTTAAGGCAGTAGTTGCAACAGACTAAAGTCTATAGGCACAGGTCATATTGAATTATGGAAGATGTTACCAGAGGTGTGTAATGAGAATGCCAAAGCAGGAGAGGAAAGAGAGAAGATGCATTCAGTTTCCTGTGTGCAGCTCAGATGAATAATGTTTCTCTAGAAGTGTCCTCTTGTGGTCTGCTTTGGGTATCGGTTTATATTTGAGTCCAGGCACATTTTAAGCCCTCAGCAGTTAGTTCGGAATGGCTGTTTAATGAGTAATACTATGTTGTAGGCGATGCATGTTCTCCTGCTGCATTCTAGGGTTTTGTTGTCCCTCTTCCCCCAGAGAAAGGAAGTGCTGGTGACTAGCACAGGAGAACGACCACACACCGCTGCCTCTCGGTTGTGTGCAGCTGCCGCTCCCTCCTCTGTGCTATATGTTGTGTTTAGTTTGATTCCCTCATTCGTCTTTATTCATTCACTCCTTCATCAGATGAACATTTACTGAGCAACCATACGTGTCTGTGCCAGGCTGGGTGCTGTGCTAGGTGTTGGCAACAGCCACGGCCCCTGCCACACGCAGCCTAGACGATGCTGGGAAGACCCAGACAGATGACCGATTACAGGGGGCTCAGTGTGCTCTCCCAGGCTATCGTGGGAATGTATATCTGGAAGCCTCACCTCATCTTGGGGAGTCGAGAGCACTTTCCTGAGCAGTGATGTTGGAGCTAGTCCTGAAGGATACGTAAAGTAGTAAAGTAGCCGTGGAAAGAGGGTGGGATGGAGGGAAGAGCACCAGGCAAAGCGAAGGAATAGCGTGCAGTCTGCAGGACGGCCTTGAACCCAGGACAGCACTGTGCAGGGTGGAAAGGCCACCTGAGGCTGAAGACAGCCTTTCAGGGCACAGACATCTCTCACCTGAGGATCTAAGCACACTTCACAAGCCTTCCTCTCACCTCTTATCTTTTCCGGGGACGGGGTGGGGGGAGGATTTGTTTTTCCTTTATTTAATCGTAAATCTAAAACATTATCTAATTTCTAATTGTGGAAGATTCTAGGGACTCTTCCCAATATTAGAAGAAAGTCTTGTCTTGAAGTGAAATTTAATATAGCCATTCATAGTCAAACCAAACCAAACCAAACCAATAACCTCTGTAACCCTAAGAAATGCCCTTCAGCAACACCTCAAAATTAACTAGCTTCTCCCCCTTCAAATAAACCTGCCCTTGTTTTGTTCTGACTTTTTCCACTGGAGACGTAATGTATTGAGACATTGTTCATTAACTCAATCTCAGTGGACCAGTCTGGAATGGTAATTCCTACTTAAGGTATGGAATTTGGGGTTGTGAAAATGGGGTTCAGGCTCCAAACAACTGACTCTCGGACTCTTGGCAAAGAGTTTATTTTTACCTTTGGGACTTTGTTTCTGTGATGGGGAGTGTGTCTGAGGCCAGGAGGAATAACGGAAGAGGTGGGGGTACTCACCTTGGACAAAGCATTACTCTTCCTGTGCAGGGTTTTTATTTTTTTTCTGTCAGATACATGTTATTCTTTTTGTCAATTGTTTTTTAGACACACAATGAATTTACTATTACCCATGTAATTGTGCCAAAGCAGTCTGCGGGACCAGACTACTGTGACATGGAGAATGTAGAAGAATTATTCAGTGTCCAAGACCAACACGATCTTCTCACTCTGGGGTGGATCCACGTACGTTTAACCTCCTGGGTTGTTGTTTCTTTGTGTGTGTGGTGCTATTTTCCTCCTTGAAAAAGTTTAGCTTAATTCAAATAGCTTCTTACTTTTTTTTTTTTCCCAAATGTAATAGAGGTCATTGTATTAAAGGATTTTCAGTGTTGCACTGTGCCTAAATCTGTCAAATCTCGAGAGGGAATCTTATGCTTTTTTTGTGCCATCTAAAGTTAAAAGAGAAAAAGAGTAACATTTGGAAATTAGATGACTTTTTTGGATGATTTTACATACTCCAGGGCAAGCTTAGCCAGATTGTCACCTGATCTGACTAAACAGTTATTAATATTCTCTTTCTTTTTGCTATGTGACCAAATTAGATTATTTTAAGAAAATTTCTGAAAAACATTTTTTAAACAAGATGATATATGTATTTCTGTATGAATAGCCACAGAGTAGGGCAAGGAATAGGGCCAAAAACATTGGGTTCCAATGTCCACTGGGCCACCATAGGAGCAGGAAAGGGCTTACAAATCAAATAGACATGAGATGAAATCTCAGCTCTAAGAGTTCACTGTGGGAACACTGGCAAGTTATTAAAACAATCTGAGCATCAGTTTTATCATCTATAAAATGGGGATTATAATAAGTGACTTTATGTGATGTCGAATATTAAATGCGATAATGTCAGTGATTTTTTGAGCCCATCTTTCTAGGAACTCAGAATATGGCAGCTGTTGTGACTGGTGATAATATTCTTTTATACATAGCTTTCTATCTGGAGGACACTTCTCCATGCAGTTGCTTGACCTAGAGTAATGTCTATTGTTTTTGCTGCAATAACACAATAGTTGAGACTGGGTAATTTATAAAGAACAGAAATGTATTCCTACAGTGTTGTAGGCTGGGAAATCCAAGATCAAGGCCTTAGCATCAGTGTCTAGTAAGGGCTGCTCTGTGCTTCCAAGGTGGCACCTTGTTGTAAACTTGAGCCTTTTCACAAGGCTGCTAATACCCTTCATGAGGGTGGAGCCCCAATGGTTTAATCACCTCCCAAAGGCCACACCTCTTAATAATATTACATAGGGGATTAAGTTTCAACATGAGTGTTGGTGGGGACATCATTCGAACCATATCCGGCAGGGACAAGTCATCCTACTGGTATGAAATGCTGGCCAAAGAAGTTTCCAAGACACATTCTAGGAACCTCCAAGTGGCCCTCAAGAATGATAAGTGATCATTATGTATTTTACTTGCTTTATAGAGGACTGGGTGGGGCAGTGCATGTGCGCATGTGCGTGCTAGTAAACTCACGCAGTTGCCAGCATTTGCTGTTACATAGTTTAGGAGGGTAGAGGAGACTTTAGTCCCAGCTCCACCTGTAAATTACTGTGTGTCTTTAGTCAGGACTCCTAACCTCCTTGTTTCTAGGTTCTTTTACTGAGTAATGAATGCTTTCTCTCCTTACTGACTGTGAGTGAGCAGTGTATAAGACACTAGGTGTAAAAGCCCTTTGAAAAGTCTAAACTGCCTTTCAGATGTAAGAAATTATTTATAGTGAAGGAGTTTACAAAACTTTCCCCATGTCTGTTTGTTTTATTTAACAGTGAGTAAATATGCCTTGCTATTTGCTTGGAAATCGCTGTATTTTTGAGGCATCATTTAGCTTAATGTAATTTCTGTTACAAGAATGCATTTTAAAGCAAAAACCGTCGCAGAGAAATTGTAACATTAACAGCGACAGTCCATTAAATCATACACTTACATTGACAAGTCAATGTTAGCTTATCTTACAAACATTTCCCAGATTAGAAACAAAATTTTTTCCCTTCTGATCTGCTGTGTTTAGGTATAATTTATGAAATAATGAAGGTAAGTTGTTTGAAGAATAAATTTGGCATAGTTGTAGAATCCTAGGACTTTGCTTTTTGTTTAACTTATTTCACCACATCAAATTACTGTGGGTTGATGAAAATGCAAAAGTGTCACATGTCTACACCTCAGTGGTTTAAGGACTTCTGTGATGGTTTTTATTGTGCATAATAGTAGCAACAAATTTTAGAGCTGACTTTTTTCCAGATAAAAATTAGTCATCAGAAAGGTCTAAATCAGAATCATACAGCTGGATTTGAATGTAGACATCTTAGATTAACTAGTTAGATGGGCTTGAGCAAGTTACCTTCTCTCCTGCTTACCTCACTTTCCTCATCTGTAAAATGGGGATAATAAAAAATAGCACTTATCTTGTTATTGTGAGGATTCGGTGATATGATTCCCAGAGAGTGGGAAGTCCAGTGGTTGGCATATTTTCAGTTGTAATAAATGGCATCTGCTGCTATTGCTGTCATTGTCATCATTGTCATCATTCATAGAGTGAGGGAGTGTGAGCATGATCTTCCCAGGGGAGAGCAGTCCTCACTGCAATAGTCATGATTCCTCTTGACAAGAATGAAGGACTCAGAAGGTCATTTGGTGTCCAGTCTGGAAATAAATTGATTGGCAGAGTGATTTGTCTCTTTGATAACCTATGAAATAATCTATCCTGCACTATAGTTCTTTTGAACGTTTCTTACATTCTCACCAAAACATAGAAGACTGTATTTTACCCAGAGAAGATGTTCTCATGCTGCCCAAGGCTGTCAGATAACAAGGCTGTCAGACCTATGCCTCGTGCCTTGACCTAATGATTTGCATTTTAAATGTGCATTGCTTTTCTTAATCTAAGTCTTCATAGACCAAGAGTTATCTTTTCTTTGAGGAACATGTATCTTTCTATAAATAATCAGCTGATTTTACCTCTATTCTATCAAGTAAAGTAGAAAAATTTTAAAATCTTGTATTTCTTCAATGCGTCATAGTTTTATATTAAATATATTTAGCTACTACTATAGGCCTATGTCCTTCAGTTGATGACAACATTAAAATAACACAAGCAATAATAACAGTGAACAATTCTGATGTCCTTTCTGTGTCCTAAGCACTATTCTAAGAATTAAACATGGACTGTCCCATTCAGTCTTTTTAACACTCCCATGAAAAAAGTTATTATTATCCCTATTTTATGAATGATGAACTGAGCAAGAGCAATCTTTGCTGTGGCAGATAGCACATAACAGAGCCAGGCCCCAGCCGGTGTATGCCAAGGACCTTTGTTTCATAATTAAAATAGTCATATTCTTTTTTCAAGGATTAATTAGGGTTTAATATAAATTTTTAAATCACTGTGTATCCTTGTATTTTTCCTGTGCACATGAGAACCTATGATTTGCATAAACACAGGTTAGTATGTAACCAGGAACTTGGAAGATTGCCTTTAATTTATAATCTGCCCTCCTTTCTTATGCGGTGCCAGGTCAGCCTCAAATACATTCCACAACTTGGAGAACCCCCTTCTGTCATTTACAGAAAATGGCAATCTACAAAAGGACAGAAGCAACGTGTGGCATATGTAGTAAAAACTTTCTTTTCCTGTCCATGGTGTTATGTGTAAGGGTCTCTGGTCCAGGCAGTCACAGCGCTCCTGCCTTGTTTACAGATCCTTGTATGTAAAACTGAGATAATGAAATAAGAATGTCATAGATGAGGTGTGATAATCGCATGAGAATCTACCTAAAGCTCTGACATATTAATTTCCAACTCTTTCTTTCCCAATACGAAGAAAGTGCTCTAACACTCCTAGGAGCCTCTTCTCGAAGTTGTAGTTATTCCAGAAAAGCAAATAGTAGGAATATATAAAGAGAAGGACTGTGCTAGCAAAACATTTTTAAAAATTCTCGTTTGGTTAATAGTGGTTAAAAAAAAAAAGCCAGCAAATAAATAGAATTTTTTCTTCGGATGGACTGGGGCCTTGGCTAAGACTTAGGACCCTGAAAGACTGTCTCCTTTTCTTGTTACAGACACATCCAACCCAAACTGCGTTCTTATCCAGCGTGGATCTGCACACTCACTGTTCCTATCAGCTCATGCTGCCCGAGGCTGTTGCCATCGTTTGTTCGCCAAAGCATAAAGAGTAAGTGGGACCCTTGGAAGGCCTTGTGTGGGACCGCAGGGTTCCTGTGTGTGCAGACACCTGCTGTGGCACTTGGATAGGCAATGCCCAGGATGCCCTTGGGAAAAAAGAAATGTTAGGTGGTCGGCTCCCAGAGACCTCTAGCTCTTTGCTCTCTAACTTTTTAAGTCCTTTCAGTGGCACAGTTATTGATTTTCTTTCTTCAGTTTCTGTGACCTTGACGTGGATAATATTCAAAAGGGATATTACCCCAGTTTACCTTTGGAGATCTTAGTTCTTCTGTGTTTTGTACTACTATAAGAAATTTTCCAGCCTTAGTTACTTATAAAACCTTTCTAGTTTGGGGAGACAGTGCTTATCGTAGAGTAGTTACAAGCATAGGAACCAAACACAGTTATATGGGGACCCCAGCACCACCCTGAGTGGTGTGTTTGGCCGGACGCCTGGCCACTGAGAGCCCGGCTTCTCTATCCCTTCTCCCTGCCCATCATGGACTGATGTGAAGGTGAAATTCAATAATAGTGGATGTAAAGTGCTCAGCATACTGCCTGGTGCCACAGCAAGCATGTCACAAATATTCACTGTTGCTGTTATATAAACAGTTTTAACATGATTAGAAGAATTGGGAATATCTGCCCCTTGCCGTTTCCTCCCATGGGCCCCCTCCTGTGCGGCCTTGGCCTCCCCCTGGGGCTCAACAACTCATCTGCCTTGTCTCCGTTACGATTTCTCTCCTCTGTGTCAGTCTTAGGATTGGTTAAAAAAAAAAAATCACCCTGGAACTCCCAGTCTGTGGTTTCTCCATCCCCTTTGAGGAACATGGACACTTGTGCCTCTCAAATAAAGCATCTGGAAAGTGCAAATGATCCTTACTTTCTCTCACGTTTGTTCACCCTCCCATTTAGCACTGGCATCTTCAGGCTCACCAATGCTGGGATGCTGGAAGTTTCCGCCTGTAAAAAGAAGGGCTTTCACCCACACACCAAGGAGCCCAGGCTGTTCAGTGTGAGTCCATCCTGTTCGTTACTTTTCAGATATTTATGCTTTGCTGCCCCTTGCCTTTATTTAAGGAGAGAAATAGTAGCAGTCTACTATGGGGTGGATAAAACACTATGCTGCTTAGTTTAGAGTTTCGTCTCAAGTATTAAATAGTCTTTGTGTTTAAGAAATTTAGAAAATAAATGTACTGCTTCTCATTTTATTTACAAGGAAATGTCAGTATTTCTGTAGCAGAATTGATGATGTACAAAGGTACCTTTCTATTATGTATCTGTATGACACTTAAAAAAGGCTTTCTTCAGAGTCCAAATTTGCCAACAATTATTAGAGAAAATATTAAATGTTGCATGAACTCTCTCTGCTTGATATAGCCAGATTAATGTTTTCGTAACAATTCCATGAAAATGTACACTTCTTGATTAGCTTTGTATAGTTCCAAAGAAGTGTTATTTGACTGCATTTTTTTTTCTAACTTTGCTTGGAGGTTCTGTGGCTGTCACATCAGAGAAACATGACTTTGAAGTTAGAATTTATTTAAAAGGAAAGTTACTTGGCAACCTGTATAAATATTTTCTCGTTGAACATAAGTGAATGTGATTGTATTTTTTCCGACTGGAAATTAAAACTTAGAAACAGTTTTAAATTAGGAAACCTAAACTCCCTCCCTAAAGAAAATTGTATGTGAAGTATTAATGATGTAAAACCCATTTTTTTCTTTCCTAGATCTGCAAACATGTGGTGGTAAAAGACATAAAAATAATTGTGTTGGATCTGAGGTGATACGTTCCAGATGCAAGCACCGTCAACACCCAGACACCTGCCTGCCCTTGGACCTGCGGTTGCCGGATTTTCTTAAGATGTTTCCAGAAATGACTGACATTTTATATTTATATATTTTAGATCAGAAAGTTTGATATTTATTGCTCTTGCACATTTTGAAGTTTTTTGTTTTTTTTTTTTTTCCGGGAGGGGAGTTGCTCTGTGTCAAGAGAGGTTCTATGGTGTTAAATCCATCTCTAATAACGTACCCAGATACTGTGGCCAGATAATAAATTGTGCTGCAAACAATGCGTCTGGTGTTCATAGAGGTCTCTGCATACATTTTTAGCGCTTTAGACATTTTGCTGTATTTTTTTAATTTATTATAAAATGTAACTCTGAGCAAGAAATGCTAAGTCTGTGGAATCGCCACACATTTCTGCAGCCTTTTCCTGTGGGGGAAGGTGAGTACTTTCTCTTTGTGAGAGGAACCGTGGCTGCAGTTAGAAGAGCTCACGCTGGGTTTTCAGTGTCATCTAATCCCAGCCTCAGTGAATCACAGTGTAGTTGTGCCAGGCTTCCACGGAGGGACCAGGTTTCAGGGGGCCTCCGATAGCAGACCATTCATTAGTTTGAATTAGAAGACTTAAAAACAGAGAAGCTGGAGAGAGGAATTTAAAAAGGCTCAGATAAGAGTATAAAGCTAGTCACTGAGAAAGCCAGCAGGGCTGTCAGGGAGAAGAAATGAGGCATAGGAGATAACCGATAATTCATAGCCAAAAAGAGTGTATGGAAAAAGAATTTGGAAGGAACACTTGTGATTAAAGGTATCTGTGTATAAGTTAACACACAGAGAATAGGAATAAAATCAGTTTGAGACTAAACAGGGTGACATAAATACAATGTTGTGGTAGCACTAGGACTTGGAATGGCCTTTGTGACTGGCGTCTTGATAATAAAAGCATTTACCTGGATCCAAAGATAACAGATGAAACAGAAGGAATAAGAGACTTAGGAAGTCTGGTGGCAAGTTGAATTGGTAGGAAAAACCTGAGGAGGGAAACATTGTGGAGAGAATTTAGCTGCAAATATAAGGAGGGAAGAATGGCAGTGATACTGCTCGGTACCTTGAGAATATGGAAATATTCCTCAAAACCCAGAAGACAGGTTTTCCAGGCACAACCTTAATCTTGGCAGAAATTACTCCAGGAAGTCCTGGTCTGGCTGCCCTTTCCTGCAACAGCAGCCTTCAGGTCACTTCTTCGTCTCTTCCTCACTTTTTGGATCTTACCTTACTCTAGTCTAGCTTTCTTCTCTTTTCGACTTTTAAGTTTTCTTCATCAGCAGATCTCCTGGATCTCCAGGTTTCTCCCTGACTGGTGAAACTAATCCTATCCAACCCTCTCTATGCCTGATGTCCTGGACACCAGCCACAGCTTTCCAAGACTTTGCTGTCCCCCCTGGCATCAATCTGAGTTGCTAAATAACTCCTGGTTGCATGCATGAACATTTATTTCTGTATTCCCTATAGTCTGTGCTTGGAGGGGTTCACATTCCTCCCCACTTATCTGTTCCTCAATATTGGTATCATGGCACTCAATCTCTGTTCCAGTTCTCATTCAGGAAGAAACTGCTATGGGCAGCTCAGTGGCTTGTTTCTGTTTTAGGGCAACTTGTAGCCTTAGAAAGTTCAGGTCTCCGACCTGGGAAGTAGAGCTTGGCTTGCATGGTACATGGCGACTTTAGTTTACTGGCACCACTAGCTGAGGGCAGGCAGGTTAATTCTGCAAGGCTAGCTCCACAGACAACCTGCTCTTAACCTGAGTGATGCTATTCTTGATTTTTTAATGCTTAAAAACATCGTGATATTCTGATATACTTGATCAAAGGAAAAGATTATATACTTCATTCAAGTAACTGTTTGGACAATGGATAGTCGAAAGTAAATGATATTCTCTGTATGAAATTGAAATATACAGTAATACAGCATGAGGATGTAAAGTGAGTTGTTTGATGAAAAAACTACGGCTACTGAATGGCGCCTAGAGGTAGAAAAGACTCTGCTCAGAGCCAAGAACATTTGGCTACTTAGATTTCCAGAGAGAATACAAAGAGAAGCTGTGAGTATGCAAAACCAATTAAATCCCTTCTCAATAGCAAATCAGAAAACCCGTTTTTCACTAAGAGGTACATTGTATCCCCTGCAGGAGAGAGCTACACTTCTGGCACTTTGATTTCCTTGCAGAGAGGGAAAACCTCAGGCCTGAGGTAAAGTTTGAAAGGTTGTTTTGAAGGGCATGTAGTTGATTGCCAAGTATAAACCTGCCTTCCCAGAAGGAGTTTGTTGACTCTTGGAGGCAGCAAACCAGTGATCAAAGCTTTGCAGCAGGTTGAGCCCCAAGGCAGTGTCTGAAAGAAGGACCAACAGAGGAGGGCTGGCCAGTGGCTCCTGTCTATAATCCTAGTGCTCTGGGAGGCCGAGGCCAGGGTGAATTGCCTGAGCTCACAGGTTGGAGACCAGCCTGAGCCAGAGCGAGACCTCGTCTCTAAAAATAGTCAGGTGTTGTGGTGGGTGCCTGTAGGTCCAGCTATTCAGGAGGCTGAGGCAAGAGGATCTTGAATCCAAGAGTTTAAGGTTGCTATGAACTATGCCCCCACAGCACTCTATCATGGGTGACAAAGTGAGACTCTGTCTCCAAAAAAAAAAAAAAAGACCAACAGAAGAAATGAGGCCGTATCATTGAGGAGCAGACTAGAGCCCACACCAGCCAGCCCGGAGCCACACACCAGTATATACGTGTGTGTGACCGCCCATGTTTTGGGTAAGTTTCTTTTTGAAAACCTCATTACAACAGCTGTGCAGTGTCCTCTTTTAAATGTCCAGAGCCCCACTTATTGCTCTTCTACCCCCTAAGACAAAGATAGTTCTTTATTGTTTTCAGATGTGTGTTTCTGTAGAAAAATGCACCAAGTATGCCTGAGCTTTTTTGATTTTTACCCCTGGTTTGTTTGTACACAGTGACCAGCACCAAGCATATACTTGTCAGAGCCAAATTATTTTCCCCTTCCCAAATTTGTATACTGAGACCCTTAACCAACCCCCAGAACTTCAGAATAGAACTATATTTGGAGATGCGGGTTTTAAAAGATGTACTTAAGTTAGAGTAAGGCCACTAGAGCAGACACTGATTCAGTGTGACTGGGTCCTGACAACTAGAGATTAGGACAGGCGTACATAGAAGGAAGACCATGCGGAGAGATGGGGAGAAGACCGCCTTCTATAAGCCAGAGAGATACCAGGGACAAACCAGCCCTGCCTACCCCTGATCTCAGCTTTCTAGCCTCCGGAACTATGAGAAAGTACATTTCCATTGTTTAAGCCACCTACTCTGGTATTTTGCTATGGCAACCCTAGAAAACTAATACAGTACTCAATGAATATTGTTTACTGAGTATTTTCTTCTTCCTTACAGACTAAATTGGAAATGGCTTTCTTTGTTGTCATGCAGGGCAGAAATCATTCTCTCTGTGGACCTTGTCAGTTGTAAAAGAGCAAAGAAGAATGTGGATTACTTTCAGCTGCTGGAATTGTTCTTAGGTTCTATTCACAGGATTTTGCTTGTGGAAAATGGACATTTTATGTGAGGCCACATCCTAGAATTGATTGTTAGTTTCCTCTCAATTTATTCCCTATTGCAGCCACTTTAACTGTGTCAGAGACTGTGTGATTGCAACAGTTTGACCTTCATTGGGGGTTTTTGTTGCAAAACCAGCTGAAGTGGTCCCACATATTGAAAGCAGGTGCTCTCTTCTGGTGTATATTGCAGAAATATATGGTAAGAAAATGTCTTCTGTGAAGAGACTGCTTGAGAAATGTCATGTATTTGGCAATAGTTAAGAAAAAAAGGTAAACCTCAGGCTCCTTGTTCTCCTTAGAAGGATTTGGGTTTTTATTGTGAAGACAGCTAAGATGCAAAGAACTTTTCTGTTCCTTTGAGAAACTTACTTCTTTTCTTACTATTTTGACTCTTCAAGAGGCAAGAATATTTTTCCTTGGGGACAGCTGATAAAAACATGTAGTGACTCCTAAAGACTCATCAAAAGATGTCTAAGAAAACAGTTTTTCTCTTTTTTAAAACTCAAAAAGCATGTCTTAGGTTTGGCTGCTATAGGAAAAATATCATAACCTGGATGGCTTTAGTAATAAAACATTATGTCTTATAGTTTTAGTGGCTGATAATCCAAAATCAGGGAGCTGGTATGGTCAGGTTCTTGATGAGGGCTCACTTCCTGATTTGCAGACAGCCACCTTCTGACCCTGTGTTCATATCGGGAAGGAGAAATCATCTCTCTCATATCTGTACTTGTTAGGGCACTAATCTTATTAGATACCTTACCCTCATGACCTGCTTATCTCCTAAAGACTCCACATTCAAATACCATCACAGTGAAGATACCTAGACCACAAGACATTCTAAAACCCAATGAAAATAGTTAGATTTTTGTCTCTCAAAGAGAATTACCTATGCATCTGTGTCATGTAAGCAATAGTTGGCAGTGAAAACCTAAAATCCTTTCCTTGAATTAGTCACTGACTGGCTGGGTTCTGGATGTACCAAAGGCATTTGTGGTGAATTTATATTCTTGAATCTGAAAAGGATGTTTAAAAATCACTCTCTGTACCATTTTTCAGGAGAAAACGCATTTACAGATTGCTTAAACAAATAAGCTCTCTTATATTTTCTCCTAATATAAAAGTTGACAAACAAGAAAAGCAAGACAACTAGAAGATATCTGCTCTATCCTTAACTTTGAGAAGGGCCATGGGCAAATTATAAATTATATTACTTTTTAAGAATGTAGTTTTCTCAGCTACAGAAAGGAAGTGGCTTCTTTCAGCAAGGCAAAATTTTATGCATGCTGAGGTTCTTCCCAATGCAACATATTATTTATTTATTTTTTGAGACAGAGTCTCGTTATGTTGTCCTTGGTAGAGTGCCGTGGAGTCGCAGCTCACAGTACCTCAAAATCTTGGGCTTATGTGAGTCTCTTTCCTCAGCTTTCCAAGTAGCTGGGACTATAGGCGCCTGCCACAACACCCAGCTATTTTGTTGTTGTTGTTGTTATTGTTGCAGTTATCATTGTTGTTGAGCAGTCTCGGGATGGCTTTGAACCTGCCAGCTCTGGTGTAGGTGGCTGGCGCCCTAACCACTGAGCTGTGGGCCCTAACCTATTTTTTACTTTTTAAAAAAATACATTTATTGAACTGAAGTTTACCTATCATAAAATTAGCCATTTTAAAGTGAACA